GAAAAGGAGGACGAGGAGGAGGGGGAGGAGAAACGAGGACCGCGAAGCGCGAATAACTTCGCGCCCTCGGGGGAGCCCTTGCAAATAATGTCAGAAAAGGTCGTCCGAAAGGTTAGGTTTGTGACATGATTTGTTGTTCCCTGATCCTCGAGGCCCCGCGCCCGAAGGCCCGAAAGCTTGTCGGTCCCAATTTTCGAATGGTCCCCAGCAGCCGAAATCGAGGAATACGACTGGATTGGAGAAATCACAGCGTCGGAGATCTTGGCAGCCAGCCTGCACTGCACTACCACAGCCCCGCTGCTTGGGCCTCTCTCGGAGGAGGAGGAGGTGGTGGAGGAGGAGGAGGAGGACCATTGTAAACCCAAGACATAAACGATGTTGGAATAGATCCTCCCCCAGGCTTCCTCTTCATAGGCCCCGACAAGGATTCATTTCCACTGAAGCAAGCGTCCCGTTTGGAGACAATCGTTTGAAGGTCCTGAGGCGTGCCAGAACAGCCATCTCGGGACTGCAAAGCCACGAATAAGCCTGACTGTTGCGTCTTGACGATCCTGAATCGTGCCTGAACACCATTCCCGGGACTTCAATACCGCGAGTCTGCGTCGCTGATGCACCCTGTCAATCCTGAGTCGTTCTGAAACACCGTTTCTGGTACGTCAGCCATGGGCGCCCGTGAAACTTTTGCAGGTTGAAGAGCGAACGAGAGCGAACGTGCGCGGCGCTGAAGCGAGAATCACGTTTTGAAAACGAACCGCCCTCCATCCGCGATATCATTGGACATGTGTACACCCTGCGAAATGCTTTAGAAATCATGGGTTAAGAAATTCATAGTCTCCGAACTTGAACAAAAACCCAGAACTTCTATCAAAATCTTGGGATTTGCATTGAAAAGTTAAGAATAATCGAGACTCTGGACGAAAACTTAGGTTTTCTTAAGCATCGCCTAAGGTGTAGAACGAATGTGCGCGGCGCTCCGGCGAGAACCGCATGTTGAAAGCCGCCCGCTCGCCACCCGTGGAGCGCTCTTGCAACTTGCTGCAACGAACGTGCGCGGCGCTCGGGCGAGAGCCACGTGTGGAAAACCGTCCGCCCTCCATCCGCAAAGCCAATCCTCTTCCTCCTCCTCCTCCTCCTTCCTCCTTCCTCCTTCCTCCTCCTCCTCCTCCTTCCTCCTCCTCCTCCTCCTCCTCCTCCTCCTCCTCCTCCCCTTGCAAATGTTTCAAAACACATGTGCGCGGCGCTCATGCAAAAACCACATTTAGAAAACTACCCGCCCGCAATCCGTGAAAAAACTCTTGCACGGCTGTTCCATAACATCTGTGCGGGGCGCGAAAGCGGGAGCCACATTCTGAGCACCGCCCGCCAATGATATGTGGACATGGCTTGTATGTTTAAGCTTCAGGGTCATAAAGTGTAAAACAGTCTCAAGCGAAACGCCCGGCCCGCCCTTTCGACTGGCCTCGGGGTGGGACATGGAGGAGTTATTTATAAGGAGAAGGAATGGAGGAGGAGGAGGAGGAGGAGGAGGAGGAGGAGGAGGGGGAGGAGGAGGAGGCAGGAGGAGGAGGGAGGAGGAGGGAGGAGGCAGGAGGAGGAGGAGGAGGAGGAGGAGGAGGAGGAGGAGGGAGGTCCAGCACCCGAACGCCCAGGAACTTGTCGGTCTCGTTCTCGGCGTGCGCCCTGAGGTAGGATCGCACCTGCAGGGTCCTGCCGCCGAGCAGGCTGCCCGAGACCTCCACCTCCGTGATGTACGTGGTGCACGGCCTGCCGTGCTCGGGGCGGACGGAGGCCTTCAGCTTCACCTCGGCGGCGCGCCGGAGGGGGGAAACGAGAGCAGAGGGTCTCCAGACCGAGTTCAAGAGGCACAAGGACACACACACAAATGAATACACACAAGGAAACAGATTCCCCATCTTTTCTCACAGTTTCTGGGTGTTTGTCTTCCCGCCCAATTCCCATATCTTGGGGATCGGCGATTAATTGTGTCTGTGTATGTTCCCCTCCTGACAAATACGCGTACCGTCGGACCTGGGCCAGAAGAACGTCCCTCAAGAACGTCGGCCCAAACACACAGGACGTCCAAGAGTACCCTTCCCAGGGTGCACGAGAACATCCAACAAACGCGAAGAACATCAGGGTACCCTCCCCGAACCGACCTCGATCTCAGATACCTCGGTCCCACCGTTACAGTTGGACCGAGTCTGGAGACCATCTACGGCTGAACTGCAGATGGTCTCCAGACGAGGCCCACGCAGACGAGGTCGGAGGATTGCGCCCGCATCGCCGATGCATCGCCAGTGCATCGGCGATGCATCGGCGTCGTCGGCGTGGAGGAAGCCTGCATCTGGGTAGTCGAAGCCAATCTGGCAGGCCCAATCTGGCAAACGGGGGCAATCTGGCGAGGGAGAGCCAACGCGAATCCAGTCTGGCGAAGAACCCAAATCCTCCAGCTTGGCCGGGCCAGCGTGGCCCGTGGGGCCCAATCCAATCTGACAGTCTGGCCTTCGACTACCAAGCCAGCACCTGCGCCTCGCCGCCGAGGGGCCGCCGCCGCCGCAGGAGGAGGAGGAGGAGGAGGAGGAGGAGGAGGGGGAGGGGGATGAGGAGCAGGAGGAGGAGGAGGAGGAGGAGGAGGAGGAGGAGGAGGAGGAGGAGGAGGACTGCCCAGATCGGCGTCGTCGGCGCGGAGGACGCCTGCATCGACGAGGGGGCGCAAACCTCCGACCCCCACCCCATCCGCTCGGACCCCATCCATGAAGGGGCCCCAGGACACACAAATAAGTACACGCAAATAAAACGATCCCCCATATTTTCCCATATCTTCTGGGTTTCTGTCTTCCCGCCCGATTCCCACATCTTCCCACATTTTCTGGGGGATCACCGATCCATTGTGTCTGCGTGTTTCTTTCCCTCCTGAATCCAGGAGGCCCAGGGCCCAGAGAGAGTGCGCCGCGAGAGAGGGCACTGCGGGCACTGCGAGAGTAGGGGGAAAACAAACCTACCTCGCTTTTGACCACCCTCGCTTCCAAGAGATACCAAGCGATGCCAAACTACGGCCTGTACTGGTCAGGTCGCTTGACGAGGAGGCGCGTGGTATGACTTGTTTTTTCCTGGAAGCGAAAGCGGGGTAGGTAATTCACGCTCTGAGAGAGGGAGGCCCTTTCTGGCCCTCTGGGGAACTCTTCGCCCATCGACTCCTGGGGCTCTTACGGCCGGTTCGTGTCGTGCCGACCCCAGCCTTGGTTTTTGACACCTCAGGGATCATTCAACCTTGAACGATCGGCCGCTGCCGCAACGTCCGATCGTTCAACATCGATCGATTCTGGGTCGCCGGCGGCGTTCAACCTTGAACGCCCGCGCTGGGGGTCGCCGCTGGTCGACACGACGCAAACCTACCGTAGGCATCCAGGGTGCTCCTCGTCCACGGCCGGATCCGCCTCGAGATGCTGGCCAGAGCGCACAGCGGTGCGGGTCCAGGGATCGCGTTTTGCGCCCCCTTCCCTTCCCCCCAAGGGATTCGGAGGAGGCTTAGGAAGCTCCTCAGGAGGCCTGAGGCCTTCTAAGCCTGATGAGAAGACCCGCCTCCTCTGCCTTCCCCCCTGAGCACGCCGCCGATCACCATCGGAGGTTCGCTTTGGGCCTGGGGGATCCGCAGCAGAGTGAAATCGCCCCCGTGGTTCACGTCGAAATGCTCTCCATGCAAATTGACGAGGTGCGGATCACCCCTGGCCGACACCGTCGGAGCCGGGGTGGGAACAGTCCACGAGGGTGGAATGCAGATTCCTCGTCCTGCGTTGCCATCGAGGTCGCACACTTCCCCCTCGGCGCACTCGTCAACGCCACATCCACATGGGTAGGTCGAGGAAGTGCTACGTCCGTCGTGTTCAGTACAGTCAGAGATCAACGAGTCGTACGGGTCGTACGAGTCGTTGACACAAGGCTCAACATGGAAGCACGTCTGGTTATCTACGGTAATTTTGCCAATGATGGTCACTATCTCGTAGTGGCCTGGATCGGGGTTTCGCGTCGATATTACTACTGAGTCGCCTCTCGTCAACGTTTGCCCGTTCTCATCGGTGTCTGAGTTGACACAGGCCGTGCAGTTCCCTGGGTACAGAGGCTCCTTAAGATACGCCCCTCCGATACACGTGTCGAAATCACCGAAGTCGTCCCTGCCGGGAGGGCATTTGGTGCACGCCTCGGAACGACGACGCCGTGTTTCCCCATTGGTGCATACGACGCACAGGCTCGTGCCTGGAGTAAAATAATGGCCGAAGTCGCAGTGGTTCGGGGCAGAAATAGGGAACATGGGCAAGAACTCACCCAAGGGGGATTCTACACACTCGTTCAAGGTCACGCAACCATCCCCGTCGAGGTCGAGCTCGCCGAAGTTCCCGATGACCGGCGGTAAATATTTGCACTCCGGTTCGCTGAGGCAGCCATCGCCATCGGTGTCCACATAAGGGAAGCCAGCGCACTTCTGATCGCAAGGACACGCGGTCCCGGGAGGCAGCGTCGGGGCTGGGGTCGCCGTCACATTCGGCTCCTCGTGCAGGTACGTGATCTCTGCAGTAACAGCCTGCAGAACGCCCTCGCAGAATGTCACCCAAGTTGAGCTCCCCAAGGGGAGACCTAAGGCGAAGCGATCAATATATGTGTCCACTGGCCCTGGCCAGGCCCATGCTGGGATCCGGCACGGTGTATACGCCCTCATGACGTGGCCAAGGAGGCATATAGACCCATCCTGGGCCCAGAGAAGGCCTGGCCAGCGGCGGCGGATATGTACAGATCTCATCGCCCGGAGACCATGGGAGTCGTCAGATTCGTAGTGCCCATAATAAGAGCAAGACCTGTCCGAGTCCAGGTCCATGACAGCTGATACGCTCGGCGCGCTGTCGTCGATGATCCATCTGGGTACTCGGCTGTCTCCCTCACGAACTTCTCCGTCACACGATTCGTCAAAATAGATGTAGGAGCCGTGGAAATTGACGTAGATCGGCGCCCCCCCCGCACTGGTTCCTGAGATGATGAAGTTCGGGTCGCCGATCGATGGCCACGAGCATGGCCAGTCCACGTGGAGATACGATGGTGGGGAGCATGTCGCGTTGGAACAAATTTCGCTCGTTCCACAAACAACAGGTCCACATGCACATGGGTAGGAAACACTCGGCCCAGTTCCATTCGCGATTTCGCACGCATCTGGTGCAGGTGTTGGTGAAGGCGTGGGTGAATCGGTCTGCACCCTGTTGAAGTTAAGGCTGATGCCTTGTTCATGGACGGGCTTGGCGCAAGTGGTGCCAGCTTCGTCGTGACCGTCCGTGTCGTTGCAAGGCGCGTCGAAAAGATCACAATGGCCAGGCCAGATGGTATCTTCGTGAACACCAATCGACATGCAACGAGGGTACATGTTGCACGCGGACGCGCATAGTAACGGAGTCTCGTAGCCTGTGGGGAGCGATTGTATTATGTTTCCACACTCGCAATTGCTGCCCGTTTGATCGTAACCGTTCACGATCCATGGGTCACCTGTTTGATTAGATCCCTCCATTCGTGTCCTCACGGCACGCTCTGTTGGCTTTGCTGAATCCCGCGCTGGCACCTGTATTGGCTCTCGGACCTCCACTGCCCGCGCTGCACACGGCTCAGGACACACGATAGAGAACTTAGGTATGCCGTGCAAATGCCGCTGAACATCCTCAAACTTAGAAGTGTTGGTCAGGGGGAAAAACCAATCTGGATACTTTGCGACGCCCGACTCCATGGCCCACATGACTTTCCTGTAACATGCTTCGCCGTCGACCGACGTGTGACACACTTGAGGCAACGGTGCTGGTACTACAATCTCCACCGCCCGCGCTGCACAAGGCTCAGGGCACACGTTGGAGAACTTAGGCATGGCGTGCAGGTGCCGCTGGAAATCCTCGAAACTGGAGCTGCTGGTCAGGGGGGCAAATTGGGCAGGATACTTTACGGCGCCCTTCTCCATCGCCCACACCACTCTCTTGTGACACTCGTCCCCCTCGATCGGGGCCTGGCAGCTGGCCGATGCTGGCAGCTGTGCTTGCACTGCTGGAGTCTCCACCGCCCGCGCTGCACACGGCTCAGGGCACACGTTGGAGAACTTAGGCATGGCGTGCAAATGCCGCTGGAAATCATCGAAACTGGAGCTGCTGGTCAGGGGGGCAAATTGGGCAGGATACTTTACGACGCCCTTCTCCATCGCCCACACCACTCTCTTGTGACACTCGTCCCCCTCGATCGGGGCCTGGCAGCTGGCCGATGCTGGCAACTGTGCTTGCACTGCTGGAGTCTCCATCGCCCGCGCTGCACAAGGCTCAGGGCACACGTTGGAGAACTTAGGCATGGCGTGCAAATGCCGCTGGAAATCCTCGAAACTGGAGCTGCTGGTCAGGGGGGAAAACCAATCCGGGTATTTCTGGACGCCCGTCAGCATCGCCCACGACACTTTGTCGTAGCAGTGGTCGCCTGCGACTGCGGTTCGGCAGCCCGCGCGTGGCTGCACGACGTAATCGTGCGACGACCTATTCATGAGCTGCAGGTCGGCACACACTCCACCACACAAAGCAAACGCCATCGTGAGACGTCGTATTACCAGCTGCATTGTGAAACCAGACATCGCTCTAACGTGTACCAGTTATGTAATGTATGTACGTGAACAGAGAATTGTGTGTATTAAGTGAATGAAGTTTGAATGACTTGTACTGGTATTGGGTTGACTGAAGAACAACGTGACTCCCGGGCCAACTTGGCAGCATATGTGGGAGGGGAGGGGAGGGGAACAGACAGTAAAAGAGAACTGAGATGTTTCAGGGGACGTGGCGCGGCAGAGGATAGAGGGAAGAGCATGGCGACGGAAGAAGGACGAGCAACCATTATGGTAAGGATGATCAACTGGCTAATGCATGAATGCGTGTATCTGTGCACATTTAACCACACTAGAAACGCGCGTGTGCTTTACGCACGGTCAGCTTCTAGCAAGCCCCTTGCCCTTGACAAGCTCACGACTGCATGCATGTCCGTGCCCACAGCAGACTTAAACATGACTTGGTGTAACTTGACCGTGGACCGAAGAGAGACGCATGACCCACAAGGGTACACCCATGCAATTTGAATGCAAAGCGATGCGACGTAAATAATGCAACGCAGTGCAATGGCAACTGCGCAGTCAATACAAACCATTGCAGTGATGAACGCTCGCGCAATGCCAGCGCAACGAAACTCAAAGAAGTGTAATTCGCCTCAAGGGAATGCAAAACACACCCAAATAAAACGAAAGGCACTGCAATGCAACGCAGTGTGCGACCATCATCCAAGAAATCACAGAACAGATCACGCAACGCAATGACAGCACACGTCAACACGAACCACGTGCCGCCATACAGCACACAGGCATGTCACCCATGGCAAGCCCGATCTCAATAATTATCGACCTCACATTCGATCTCAGGTCCATCTCACTATCGACCTCCACGTGCACGGTTTCCCCCGGGGCCGTAGGCGACCCGAGGAGGAGGAGGAGGAGGAGGAGGAGGAGGAGGAGTTGGAGGAGGAGGAGGAGGAGGAGGAGGAGGAGGAGGGGGAGGGGGAGGGCGAGGAGGAGGAGGAGGAGGAGATGGAGGAGGAGGAGGAGGAGGAGGAGGAGGAGGAGGAGGAGGAGCAGGAGGAGGGGTCGCCTAAGCCCTTCGGAGAAACCCTCCACCTCCACGGGACAGCGCGAGAGACACCCCGGGACACCGCGCCGCGGGACACCAGCGGGACACCTCCTGCCCCGGGCCACCGCCGGCCCGCCCGGGGGGAGGGGAGACACTGAGCCTGTCACCGCCCTGGCCAGGGCGGGGTCCTTCCTCTCGCCCGCACACGCAGGTTCGCCTCGCCCGCGAGCGCGAGGCGAAATCGAAACCGATTTCCCCGTGGGGGGGCCCCTCTCCACTGCGTCTCACCCCCCAACCTCCGATGTTGATGGTAAAGGTAACTGTGGACGTGCATGTACATTGAAATGTGGGAGGTTGGGGGGTCTCGGCGAAGCTGCGTCGGCGGGCGAGAAGAATGACTTCGCTGTGGCAAGGGCGGGTTAAAAGCCGTTGACCGCCCCTCCTCCCTCCCGGGTGGGCGGGTGGTGGCCGGGTTGTCCCGCCGTGGTGTCCTGTCGCTGTCCGCCTCTTTCCCGCGATGGGCAGGAAGTGGCCAAATTACCCTGCCGTGGTGTCCCGTTGTCCCATTGGTTTCCAAAGGCTGTCCGTGGCTGTTCCGTCGCTGTTCCGTCGGTGTCCCGTCGGTGTCCCGTCGGTGTCACGTTGGTGTCCCGTCGGTGTCCCGTCGGTGTCCCGTCGGTGTCCCGACGGTGTCCCGCTGGTTTCTCGTGGTGAATTCGATCGTGAGATCGATCGTGAGGCCGATAGTGATATCGATAGTGAGATTGAGCGAGTGAGATCGATAGTAAGCCTGATGGTGCGATCGATCGTGAGATCGAGGGTGAATTCGATTGATGCCCCGATGGTGTCCAGATGGCTTCCTGATGGTGTCCCCTCGGTGTCCCGCGGGTGTCGGTGTCCTGTGGTGTCCCGTGCTGAGATCGATAGTGAGAAGACCGATAGTGAGATCGATAGTAAAGTCAGAAATGAGTGCGATAGTGAAATCGATGGTGAAATCGATCGGGTGAGATCGATCGTGAAACCGAGCGAGTCAGATCGGGATTCATTGGTACCCCGATGGTGTGCCGATGGTGTCCCGTAGTGTCCCGTCGGTGTCCCCTCGGTGTCCCGTCGGTGTCCCGCGGGTGCCGCGTCGGTGTCCCGTCGGTGTCCAGTGGTGGGATCGAATAGTGAGACCACTAGTGAAATCGTTTGGGATATCGATCGTAAAGTCGATCGTGGGGTCCCCCGTAAGACCTAAACTGGTGTCAAAAGTGTGATCGGTCGACCGAGAGCGATGGTGGGATCGATCGAGTGAGACCGACAGCGAGATCGATGATCAGATATCAACGCGCCATCGTCACCACGCGTCGTCGCCAACTCGCGGGCGCATAACCAACATCGTCACCATCACCGCCATCGCAGTTGTCGTCAGTTGGATTATTCTCCCCCCCACCAACCTCCTTATCACCCGAAGGGTGGTCGTATATAATATACCCATACGACCACCCATCGGGTGACAAGGGGGTCCGCGGAAGAACCGACGTCTCACTCAATCGATCTCACGATCGGTCGCCTTATTGATCTCACTATCGATCGCACAATCAATCTCATAAAATCGATGTCACTCGAAGGTATCACGATCGAACTCTCGATCGATCTCACTGTCCATTTCGATATCACTATCGATTTCGCCATCGATCACAATCGACGGTCTCACTCACTGTCAGTCTTACGACCGATCTTGCTATCGTTATCTGCATCGGTCCCATCATCGATCCACGATCAATATCACTATCGACCTCACTTTCGATCTCACCATCGAACACCGGCGAGACACCAACGGAAGGACACCGACGGGGCATCCCTGGCCACCGCCAGCCAACTCGGGGGGGGGGCAGTCTTTTTGCCCGACGGCGCCCTAGCTAGAGGTGGGCTCGTTCCTCTCGCCCGCCCACGCACCTTCGCCCCTCCTGCACTCGCGACGCGAACACGAAACCGAAACCGATTTCCCCGAGGGGGGCTCTCCGTTTCAGTGCGATCTCAAACCCGCGCCTCCGATGTATGCGCATGCCAACACGACAACCCTTCGGGTGATGAGAATGTTTCGCGCGCGCGTGCGTGCGTGCGTGCGTGCGTGCGTGTTTGTGTTTGTGTGTTTGTGTGTGTGCCCGTGCGCGTGTGTGCGCGTGAGTGTGGGTTGGTGGGGGTGGGGCCATGTCAACTGTGATAATTGTGATAGTGGCGCCACAGGCGACGCGCTCGCGAGTTGGCGACGACGCACGATCAAGATGCTGGCGGCACTGCGTGATGGCGACTGCGAAGACGGCGATGCGCGGCGACGACGCTGGCGATGGGCGGGGAATAGCAAACGGGCCTCGCGCAGCAGCGGTAGCGCACCATGCAAACTCGGCTGGCAAAGCCTGGCCAATCGGCGGCATCAAAGCAAGCGCCAACAGCGCGACACACCCGCGATGGCGCGCTCGCACCAGCGATTGCGCCGCCACCGCCACCGCGAGAACATGAATGCCATCTCCATTGCTGGATGAACATGCTGGCGGAAACAATGAAGCGCGGCGGCGATAGCGACGGCGGCGGCGGCGAGCACGATCGCGGCGATGCGCCCGCGAGACCCCCGCCAACGCAGAGCCGCGCCGGCAGGGTCGAAGCAGACGCGCGCGCAAGGCCGCACCAGTCAAGCGGAGCCTCGGCCCACGCCTTCGGCTTCGTGAGCCCGGCAGGGCCTGGGCTTGCGCATCTCGGTCTCGCTGACGCATGCTGCAGCGGCGCACATGGCCCACTGCGCGCCCCCGTCGGACCCAGAATCGGTGCCCACGAGATGGTCCGACATAGAACTGTCAGATGCGCCTGAGAGCGAGGCCTCAGACCCTTTCTGACTACCTACCAGACCACCCCAACCCAACCCGAAGGCCCGAATTCGACCCGAATTTCGGGTTGGGGGGGGTACGGATCCCATGTGTTTTTTTCGATGTTCCCCGACCCCCCCCACTGGAACTCGAGGATAAATCTGGGCCTTCGGGCTGGGTTGGGGTGGTTTGGTGGGTGGTGACTTTCGAGGTCTTGCAGTCTTCTCACCTAGGGCTCCCAACTTCGCGCTTCGCGCTGCGCGAAGCGCGAATAACTTCGCGCTCTCGCGCCGCCCTCCCAAAGGGAGAATAGGAGGACGAGGAGGAGGGGGAGAAGGAACGAGGACCGCGAAGCGCGAAGAACTTCGCGCCCTCGAGGGAGCCCTTGGGTCTTGCAGTCCTCTCACCCGACGCGGCACCCTCCAGCGGCGACGCGTCGCCGCACGGTCCGACTCCTCGTCGGCGCCGCGCGCGGCCGGCTGGCGGCACGGGCCCCTCGCTCTTCTCCGGACCTCGCGCCCGCCGCTTCCGGCCTCTCTCCGCGGTGGGCCCGCCTGAAGGGGCCCAAGGACACACAAAAATACATACATACAAATAAATAAAATAATCCCCCCGATTTTCCCATATTTTCGGGGTCTCTGTCTTCCCGCCCACTTCCCATATTTCCCATACTTTCTGGGAGATCGAGGATTCATTGTGTCTGTGTGTTTCCTTTCCTCCTGACCGTCCTCCTCGCCCCCCTTCTCCTCGCGCCACCCCCCCTCCTCGCCAGGCCCATCGTCGTCGGAACCCGCGTATCCCGGTGATCCGGCGCCGCCGCGGACTGGCGCCGCGCTCGGCGCGCCCGGCAAAACCTCACCATCGCCCTCCCCGCCCGCCCCTCCGCCGTTCGCCGCGCTTCCAGCGCGTCCGGCCCCGCGCCGTGCTCGCGCTCGTCCTCCTCCCCCAGAACTCGCGGCGCCTCGAGCATCCCGCGAAACAACGAGCCGAGCCTGGCCGCGACCGCGCGTTGCTGCAGGCCGGCGCGCGCGGCGCGCGGCGCGCCGCCGCCGAGCGTTCCCTCTGTCGATGAGCAGGAGCGTCCCCCCAACATTCACGACGAAATTCCCGATCGCGGCAAGGCTTAGGTCGGGCATGTCCCCCTATAGGCCGATTTTGGACGAAAAATCCAAAATAGTCAAAAGATACCCCCAAAATGCTTAAAAATAGTCAAAGAAATCGTCCCCATACTATGTTTTAACTATTTTTGA